ATCATCATCATCATCATCATCAAACATATGGAACAATGGCAATTCGAATGGAGTTATTTGGACGAGTGGAGGTGCCGCTAAGCATATTGACAATGGAGCCGAAAAAGAGCCTCGATCTCGCTCGAAGATTTCTTCGTGGAGTCCGTCAGGCCCATTAAGGAAACCCAAAAAAAATCATCATCATCACAAATTGTAATATCTCATTCACACACCATAAAACTACAACACTCCCTTGCGTGTCTCCCCGGCGTGTGTTAGTCTGCCCCGACACCCGTACCAGTTCCAGTCGACGAAAGAGTGTAGTAATACTGACGATGATGATGATGATGATGATGATGATGATGATGATGATGATGATGATGATGATGATGATGATGATCACTATTACCACTACGTTTCCCGGTGTGTGTTAGTCGGCCCCGACACCTGTGCGAGTTCCAGTCGACGAAAGAGAATAGTAATAACCATGATGATGATGATGATGATGATGATGATGATGATGATGACGATGATGGTGATGATGACGATGATGATGCTAATGATGAAGACTATAATGACGTTGACGATGATCACGATGATTATGATCATTGTTTCCTCGGTCTATGGCAGCTTACCCCGACACCCGTGCGAGTTCCAGTCAACGAGAGAGAGCCAGACAGACACCACCAACATGGACCTGCGGGAGATGTACGAGGAGATGATCATCTCTCCTCCTCCTCTTCCTCCTCTTCCTCCTCCTCCTCCTTCTTCTTTTTCTTCTGTCCCCTAAACACCATAAAACCATAAAAAGTTCTACACTCCTTCGTGTTTCCCCGTGCCCCGACGCCCGTGCGAGTTCCAGACCGCCAAAGAGAATAATAATAATAATGACTATGACGATGACGATGACGATAATGACGATGATGATGGTCACGATGATTATGATCACTGTTTCCTCGGTCTATGGCAGCTTACCCCGACACCCGTGCGAGTTCCAGTCGACGAAAGAGAGCCAGACAGACACGACCAACATGGACCTGCGGGAGATGTACGAGGAGATGATCATCTACCTGCACGGCGTGGACTATGTGGAGATCAGTGCAGACTTCAGCTTTGATCTCTTCCAGACACAGGTAACTGTGACAGTTGTTGTCTTTGATCTTTTAACAGAGTTACGGGTAACGGAGAAAGTTGCTGTCTTTGATCTCTTTCAGATACAGGTAACTGTGAAGGTGTTGTCTTTGATCTTTAAAAAGAGATACAGGTAACTGTGACAGTTGCTGTCGTGGATCTCTTGAAGATACAGGTAACGGCGAGGGTGTTATCTTTGATCTACCTCCAGACACGGGTAACTGTGAAGGTGTTGCCTTTGATCTATTACCAGATACAGGTAACTGTGCAAAATTCAGCCTTGCATCTCTTGAAGATACGGGTAACGGTGAAAGTTGTGGTCTTAGATCTACCTCCAGACACGGGTAATTGTGAAGGTGTTGTCTTTGATCTTTTACCAGATACAGGTAACGGTGTCAAATTCCGCTTTGATCTCTTCCAGACACAGGTAACGGTGACAGTTGTTGTCTTTGATCTCTTCCAGACACGGGTAACTGTGAAGGTGTTTCCTTTGATCGATTACTAGATACAGGTAACTGTGAAGGTGTTGTCATCGACCTATTACCAGATACAGGTCACTGTTACTGGTCTCATAATCCACGAGGATCGTAAGGGCGCTGTATGACAAAGACCCTCGTCAGGTACCTCCACTTTTTTGAGTTTTTTTGCGAGTGCCTGAGTTTGGGAAAATGATTTCCCTGTCCACTCGTAATGTTGTCGGTCCACTTCTTCCTTTGCTTTCCTTTCCTTCTCCATCCCTGCACGATTCCCTGAAGAATGGTCTTGGATAGGCCACACGATCTTGTCAGATGACCATACCATTTCAGTTCGATGTCTTCCAGACACAGGTAACTGTGCCAAAATCAGCTATGACCTCTTCCAGATAGAGGCAACTGTGCCAAATTCAGCTTTTGATCTGTTTAGATACGGGTGAATGTGCCAAATACAGCTTTGATCTCTTCCAGATACGGGTAGCTGTAGGTGTTGTCTTTGATCTATTACAAGTTACAGGTAACTGTTCCAAATTCAGGTAAAGAATATAGGTAAAATAATTGCTGACCCGTACTCGTAAGCTGGACATGTTGTTCCTGAACTGTCTCTCTGCCCTCAC